AATTCCTAAGACTTTAAAAGTACTTTGTCTTTACAGTATTGTTGTTATTGTATAAATTGTCCTGGTTCTGATCACTTAATTCCACATCAGTTCATGCAGTTCTTTGCTGGTGTCTTTGAAACTATCCCCTTCGTCATTTCCTATAGCACAAAAGTATTACATCACATTTATATACTATAACTTGCTCAGTTGATTGGTATACCCCTCCCAGTTTCCAATTCTTTTGCCACCTCAAAAAGAGCTGCTATATTTTTTATACATGTGGGTCCTAGGGGCAGGGAGCTAGGTGGCAGTGGATAGAGCTCCAGCCTTGGAGTCAGGAGGACCTGTGTTCAAATCCAGTCTCAGACACTTGACACTTACTAGCTGTATGACTCTGGGCAGGTCGCTTAACCCCGATTGCCTCACCAAAAGCACACACACGCAAAAAAAAGCCATATGCTCAACCAATCATATAGAGGTACTCACACCTTGTAGCTGCCAAAAGACTACATGTAGGGCCTTTTCTTCTTTCTTTGATCTCTTTGGAATATAGCTATAATAATGGTGTCTTTGGGTCCAAAAGTGTACGTAGTTTACATAGCTTTTTAGACAGTTCCATATTGTTTTCCAGAGTGGCTGGACATTTCATAGCTCCACTAAAAGTGCGTTAATGTATCTGTTTTCATATAGCCCCTACAACATTTGTCATTTTCCTTCTTTGTCAATTTTGCCATTCTGAAGGGTGTGAAGTGAAACTTCAGAATTGTTTTAATTTGCATTTTTCTAATTTTTAGTGATTTAGAGCATTTTTATAAGACTATTGATAGGTTGGATTTCTTTCTCTGAAAACTACATTTTCATATTCTTTGACTATCAATTGGGGAATAACTCTTATCCCTATAAATCTGAATCAGATTTAACCCTTAAAAAGGGTTAAATTTAAATATGTGAAATCTTTAGAATGGGGATTCCTTTTTTTTTTCTCATCATGGACCCCTTTGTCAGTTTCATGAAGCCTCTGGATCCCTGAGAGTAATGGTTTGTTGCCTACATTCATAATTGAACAAAATGCTAAACTTCAGCTAAAGGTTAGTCAAAATAAAGATGTCATTTTTCCCGTCCAAGTTTACAGACCCCCTGAAACTTGAAGGGTCCATGGACCCCAGGTTAAGAACTCCAGCTTTATAAGGTAACCTTGTTTGTTGACTGTATTAGCTTATTTCTGAAGTTCCTTCCAAAGCTAAATCCTATTATCTTATATAAGTAGTGCTGGACTTCATCTTTCTTTGTTCCTTTCTGTTGTCCCTCCCTCATCTTTTTGGGCTTTGCATTTGGGTGGGGGGGGTGGGGATACTGTTTTGTTTTGGAGTGTGAGGTATCAGGAGTCAGCTGTTCAAAACCCTCATTCTTTTTATCTGCTTAAGTCTCTTTCATGGGCAATTGAGGGAAAACCTCTTCTCCAACTCCCATTCTTTTTGGGGTGAAAGAGGTGTGGTCCATTGAACCTACAAAGTCCTAAGAAATGTTCATTCTATATCCATCAAATGTTCAATTCAGAGGCATAGGCCGAGGGTTAATGACCAGGATTTGATTTTAACATCACTAGACACTAGTTTTCTGACCATTGCTAAGTCACCTGTACTCTGGGCCTCAGTTTTCTTTCATGTAAAATTGGGTTAATACCTTATACCTCTCAGGCTTGGTGTAAAAGCATTTTGCATATTGCAGACTTGTTACTCACCTCAGTGTAGTGAGGAACTGTGAAGATTCAGACTCAATATCAGTGTTCCCCTTTTACATGCAGGAAAACTAAAGGTTTGTAGTTTCATATCGAGCCATAGCCGGGTCTCCTTAGGATCCACCTCCCTGCACTGCTGTGGGTGTTGGAATGAGTTATTTCTGCCCCTTCAAACAAGCGCTACTTTATCTTCTCTTGCAGGTCTTCCCTAGCTCTCCAGTCCTGGTCGTCTCTCCCCATAAGAGATCATCCCTCATTCCAGGGTTGGCCATCTACCCAGTTCGGGTTGTCAACTTCACATCACTCCAGCAGATGGCAGCTCTGGTCTTCATCAACATCTCCTGTACGCTGACAGGCCAGAGAGAGGCAGTGCCAGTGAGGGCAGTAACAGAGAAATCCAGCATGGGTGGTAATTTCCTGGCTCCTTAATGAGATTCCTCTTTCTGGAGCAGCTAAGGCCAGAACTTCCATTTCACTCAGCTTCTGCTAACAGAGATTTTAATCTAATCCAAAAGCTATCCCATTGCAGGGGGGATGGAGGGGGGTGGGGGTGTGGAGGAACATGTTATTCCCACTTAAAAGGAAACATATCTGAATGCCACAATGATAACCCAGCACTTCATTGAAATGCTTCCTTTCTTGTCATCAAGCTCTAGTGACCTTCCCAGCTTCCAAACCCAACATGTAATAAGGGTCATGATCTCCAGGTAGCCTTTCTTCGTTTATAAATGATTCTGTTGCCTGCTTCCACAAGCCCCACGAACATCAGTATTTGTACATGTCGTTACTTTGTTATGTTGCTTAAATTTGCCTGGCATAAGTTCTTTTTTTTTTTGGTATGTCATCATTTACTTTTTAAGCTAGGATAGAGTGCTGGGCCTGGAGTCAAAAAGACTTATCTTTCCTAGTTCTAGTCTGACGTCAGATACTTACTAGTTGTATGACCCTGGGCAAGTCACTTAACCCTGTTTGCTTCAATTCCTCATCTGTAAAATAAGCTGGAGAAAGAAATGGCAAAGCATTCCAGTATCTTTGCCAAGAAAACCCCAAATGGGGTCACAAAGAGTAGGACACAACTGAAATGACTAAATAAAGCACCCAAAGAATACCTTCTATGTCCCTTACAGCACCCAGCCCATGAGTCTGCTTGGTGGGCATTCAGTAATCTTAACTAATGGTCCTGCAGCCGAGGACCCAGGCCCAGCTTTCCAAGGCCAGTGTGCTCTTCACCAGGGAGTTAACCTAGTTGAAGTTATGGCCTTAGGAGTAGTCAGAAATAGATGCAAATGGGAATAAGGGCCAGGGAGGGCAAATAGCCCATGGTCATGCCATTAGAGTATAATGCCTGAAGGGTTGAGACCATTTTACTCATCTTTGTATTCCCCTAAATACCCAGCAGTGCTTCCCATATTAGAAGTAGAGTCACACCATCATAAGTAACTATTTGCCAAGCCACCTTAGCCTAATCGCTAAGGAATGGATCAGTCAGGTTAACTTACAGAAAAGTGCATGAGTGTACAAGTCCCAGTCCTTTCACCCATTTTTGGTTTTCAAACCAAATCGGTTAGGCTTAAGTTCATTTTTGTGTATCTTAAGCATAAACAACCTTTATTAGGTTACAGGCTCCATAAAGATTAGATATACCAACTATTCCCATATTTTAAAAAACCTAATTTTCTTTTATTTTTACAAAACATTTAGATCACTGTGACGGTTCAAGTGTTATACATCAGCTGATCGTGTCTTATCAAGTTTTTCTCTTTACCATTTTTGCTGGTGTTGCATCAATAGCAATCTTCTTCCTAGGTGAGTAAACCAATTGATTAAATCTTGTCATGTTTTCATTCCCCATCCAGATTGCAGGTTCCTCTACAGTCTAAAGGAGGTGGGAGGCGGGGAAGGGGGAGTGGGGGATGTAACCGGATGACTTTTGTTTCACTCAACGACCCATCCACACTTAAGTCCTGTCCCAGCTTATTGGTATGGGATCTTTTAGTGGAATTGATGGCTTTGTTCCACTCAAAAGCTGGAATTGTATTATCTATTTGCTTAGACCTATGTGCTAGAGTACCTTCATGAGGGATAGCTGTTCAAGCATTTTTTAAACGCCTACTATATGCAAGGAACAGAGGCAGTATGGCAGTGATTAGCAGTCCAGAAGACCTGGATTCAAATCTTCCTGATCTTGGGCCCTTCACTTCGAGCTCCTTGAAGCTGGGGACAATGTTTTTTACTTTACTTTGTATTCCTGTCTCAGCACAGGGTCTGACAAACTATGTCCTTTTGTTGATGGACTGACATCTTTGTAACTCCCTAGTACACAGCAGACACTTAATAAATGCTTTTTCATTCATCTCGGGTGGTGGGATCAAGGCACATCTCAGGTGGGAAATCCCAGAGCGTAACATACTTTTTAGACCAAAAATTTGTAATACAGAGCATGTTAAAGAATCCTGACTATTCAGTGAAACCCCTAAATATTAAGAAACCCTCATTCACATGTTTAACTCCAAAAGTCTAATTTTAGAGCATCTTTTCAGTGAGCCCCAAATCACACATGCCACCCTCCCCCAAACACCACACACTGTTTTAAAACCTTCACTCCCACCTCCATTATCTTTGTCTTGGTGACAGTTTCCCTGACTGCTTTTTCATTCTTGCAGCATACAATGCATTCCTCAACCGGATCCAGACAGTTCCAGTTGTCTATGTCCCAACCTCAGGAAGTGCACAACCAGGTAAAAATAACTTTGGGGATAACTCTTATCCTTATGTGAAAATCATACTGTCTTCAGCTCTCGCCCTTTCTCTTTCTAGGTTACACTTATCCGTCCACAAATTGTCAATTCACGAATACACAACCTCCACCTGGCCAAAGGAGGCTGCAGTACTGGTTATGGAGTGTGAGGCGTTAACCTACAACTGGAAAAAACCTGGCTACATTTAGCAGCTGGGCTACTACAACTCAGCCCAAGTAGAACTGCCTCTCATCAAGGCAGTAGTGAAAACTCCAAATAAAAGGATCAAAACGGATGTTAATGCTTTCTCTTGTTGGCTTTATCTCCTGCTCCCCTCAAACCAATTTCATTACTACTTTCTATCTAGCTTTATGGATTCAGGTTAAGAAAGTATTAATTCTTAAAGATGACAAATTCATTCTGTTAAAATATGAGGTCTAGTGCTTGTCACAAAGAATGTTGCAGCCTTTCAATTCTTCTAGTCTTTAATGTTCACTATTGACAGGGCCACCCTCACAACATTAAAAAAAGACAGCGAACAAAACTGTATCAAATTTGTTTTATTCTTTACAGTTTCTCAATCATCTTGATTCAGTAATTAGTGCTGCTTCCGTCTGAAGGAGCATCCTGGGAGAAAAGTAGTAAACTGTTAGTTGTCACCTTAGTTACCTCTAAGTCAAAAGATAAATTTCCCCACTCCAACCCCTCATGGGCCTGGAGTTAGAAAGACTCATCATCCCAAGTTCAAATCAGGCCTCAGACAATTAGCTGTGTGACCCTGATCTAGTCACTTAACCCAGGTTGCCTCATTTTCTTTATCCATAAGATAAGCTGGATAAGGAAATGGCAAACCACTCCAGTTTCTTTACAAGAAAACCCCAAATGGAGTCACAAAGAATCAGACAGGACTGAAAAACAACAAACCTCTTTTAACCATTTTTTAAAAAACTTCACCATTACCCTAATTTACTTTTTCCTGCCTTGACTTAACCTCCCCACCCATCTGATTTTTTCTATTTCCCTCTTTCATTTGACAGCTAGGTTCTCTCTCAGAAAAGCCACAGGGATAATTTAATTTTAACACCTCCTTAAACAAAGTTTTCAGTAATCTGCTGATTACAATTTTCTTAACTGTTCATCATCACAGAAGTTACCAAAATCCACCTATTTCAGAAACCACCAGAGCACTAGCTTCAGCACTGACCTTCTGTGAGTCTTGCCTTTCCTCCAGTAGGCTGACAGAGCACAGTGGAGCATCCCACACAGAGAACCACTGTTTGTGCGTGGCTGAAGACAGTGGTGATTTTATAGCACCCTGAAAGGAGCACATCAGGCGTGAAGACACTGCCCACCACCACTCCTCAATCATAAGCACAGTGCCCCACTCCCCACACACCCCTTCCAAAAGCCCGCACAGCACGGCCCCTAAAAGTTTGATGAGTTTCAAGACGGAGACAAGCCACGCCTCAATCCTATCAATAAAACCTCAAATAAGAAAGCAGAAAGGGCTAATTGCCAGGCATAGACCAACCAGGCCTCCCCCAAACTATCAGGCAGTGACGTTTCTAGGCACAGCCCTCCAAAGACCCTTATTGTTCTTCCACGAGCCCCCACAGCCGTCCTCCTGTTTGGAAATGTCAGGGCGTTGGGTCAGTATTCCCCGGAAAACAATATTAACACCTCCAAGGAAACACACACACACAAACACAAACACCACCCCACCCCCCCCCCCCCGCAGGACTGGGTTGGGGGGCCCCGAAGGGGCTCGGCCGCCGCGGGCGGGCGTGGGCCCGGGGTCACTGAGGCGCGTGACGACCAGGGGTAGACGTGGGGAGTGGGGAGGGTGGTCCCCGGCCGGACCACGCGGCGCCACCGGCGCGTGACCTCACCCGGGCACTTTACGTCCATGAAATACGAGTTCGGACTCTGCACCAGGCGCTTTTTCTTATGTTTCCGCTTCTCCTCCTCGGGAGAGGGGTGCAGGAGGTCTTTCGCGAGCTGCGAGGGGGCGGAGAGGAACAGATTAGCGAGCACCGGGAGGGAGGGGAAAGGCAGCGGCCGCCATGTTAGAGCCCCGTCTCCTCCCTCGTGCACGGGGGCCCCGCTGCTGCCCGCGTAGCTAAGGTCGTAAGAGGGGCTGTAAGCAGGGGGCCCTCCACGGCCCGCAAACGATCTGGGGCGGGCAGAACATGGCTCCGGCGGAGCGCGAGCAACTCACAGGCATGTTGGCGCGGGGAGATCTTCACCGCCGGAAAAGAGCGAAAGCGGAAATCCTGCTCCTTATATACTGCGTAAGGGCGGAAGTGACGCGCAGGCCTCACCAGGCCACCATCTTGAGGAGGTCGTTCGTATCCATGCCTGCCTATCTAAAGGCTTCTTCCAAAAGGTGGCGGTCATGTAAAGAAGGTCGCGGAGAGATTATGGTGTCTCTACGGCGCCTTCAATTTTGGTTGGTCATGCCGACATCTTGAGAAGGTCCTGGATGGTGCTTTAGGGTAATAGTTGATGAATTAGCCCGTTCCCTGCCGTCTGCCTTCACCACTTAGCCTCCCGTAGTGAGACGCCTGAGTAGAACGCCACAAATAGAAACTGGCTGAACGAATTCCAGATGTAATCGAGTGGATGAGCATTTATTAAGCGCCTACTTTATGCCAGCTAGGTGGCGCAGTGGATAGAGTACCAGGTCTGGAGTTAAGAAGACTCATCTTCCTGAGTTCAAATTTGACCTCAGACACTTACTAGCTGTGTGACCCTGGGCGAGTCACTTAACCCTTTTTGCCTCAGTTTCCTCATCTGTAAAATGAGCTGGAGAAGGAAATGGTAAACCACTCCAGTATCTTTGCCAAGAAAACCCCAAATGGGATCACAAGTATGACAGGACTGAACAACAACAATATGCCAGACCCTATGCCAAGCTCTGAGAATGCAAAGAAAGGCCCTTGAGACAATATGAAACCAACTATGTAGAAGTTAATGAGCATCAAGTGCCTACTATGTGCCAGTCTAATGGAAGAGACAACATGCAAACAACTATGTACAAACAAGCTATAAAAGAATAAATTCAGAATAGTTTCATAAGGAAAGCTTAAGGTTAATGAGGACTGGAAAAGGCTTCTTGCAGGAGGTGGGACTTAAGCTGGGACTTGAGGACCTGAGCATTTGTACATATTCTGATCTTTTTGGAGATTTTTTTTTTTAAACCAAAGAAGCACTAACTTTGCAACCCATCAATTATTGAATCCCTTTGGTAGGCAGCAATCTCATCTCATGGTGGATTGCCATTATAACAGTTTAGTCCAGAGGTATCAGAGATTGGGTTTCAGCATCTTGTGATAACTGAAATATTTTGTACTGGTTGCAGCTGCTGTCTGCTATATCACAAAGAGCCAGATTGTGATAGGAAGCTAATGAAGAACTTGTATTTTCTTCATGTTTGATTTTCCCCCAGTTATACACAGCTGTCTTGGAGCATCAATTAAAATGTTTAATGAAATCAAAATCTTTTAGAAGGTGGGACTTCAGCTGTGACTTGAAGGAAGACCTGGAAGCCAGAAGGTAGAGATGAGGAAGGAGAGAATTCCAGGCATAGGGTGGGGGTGAGGGGGCAGCCAATGAAAACAGAATTAGGAGGAGTGTCTTGTTAGATCCACAGCAAAGAGGCCCGTAGAGAGAGCCAATGAAATTTATTGAATGGAGTGGGAGGGGGAGACACCTTGAGATGTGATCAGACTGCGCTTTAGGAAGGTTGCTTTGATAGCTGAGTGAAAGATGGGATGCACTGGAGTGGGAGAAACTTGAGGTGGGGAGACTAGAGGCTAGGGCAGAACCAGGTCTAAGGATATGAGGCCCTGCATCAAGATGGTGGCAGTGTCAAAGGAGAGAAGGTGGTGTGTACAAAGATATTATTAAAGTAGAATAGATGGGACTTAGCAACAGATTAGATATGGGGAAAGGAGTAAAGTGAGAGAAAGTGAGGAGTTGCGGATGACACCAAGGTTGTAAGCTTGGTAATGGAGAAAATGACGGTACCCTTGACAGTAATAAGGAAGTCAGGAAGAGGGGAGGTTTTTAAGGGGAAAATAACAAGCTCCGCCTTGGACATGATGAGTTTAAAGTTTCCAGTAGGCTTTCCAGTATAAATCTAAAGATCAAAAGAGAGGTTAGATCCCATACAGGCTTTTCCTATTTGAGAGTCTGACATCACTGAAGGAAGATGGGAAGCAAGACACAGTCCTCACCTGTCCTAGTGAGGTCAGGAATAGCCATTTAGCTTAAAAGACCCAGATGACTGAAAACAGATAGATGGACAGGGTGATTTCTGAAAGGTAAATCAGTCAGAAGTTTGAGATCCTGTAATCCCCAAAAATAACCAAAAAAAGCCTTTGTTAAGTGCCTTTCCCTAGATAGATACTATACAAAGAAAACTAGACAGCTCTGGTTCTTACCTTCTAGATATTTACTAAAAGGTCAGGGCTCAGATATACTTCAGTAGATGAGTAATTACAGGAAGGGCATAGAGCAGAATGAAAGCAGTAACAACAGCTATGTGTACAAAAATATTTATAGCAGCTCTTTTTGTAGTGACAAAGTAGTAGGAACTAAGGTGACACCCATCAATTGGAGAACAGCTGATCAAATATTGCTATATGAATGACATGGAATATTATTGTACCACCATCAGAAACGACAAAAAGGACATTGACCTAGGAAGACTTGTACGAATCGATGCTGATTGAAGTGAGCAGAACCAGAACAACTTCTAAAATAAAAATGTAAAGAAAAACAACTTTGAACAACTTAAGAATTGTGATCATTGTAATGATCAACTGCAATTCTAGAGTACCAATGAGTTAGCATGGTACCTTGCCTTCTAAGGTTATGGACTAAAGATGCAGAACGAGCTATACATTGTACTACATGGCCAGTATGGGAATTTGTTTTGCTTTACCGTGCCTATTTGCTAAAAAGGGTTGAGTTTTGTCCGCAATTGGGATGAGGAGGTGAAGGGGGCTGGGGAGGTAGGAATAGGGAAGAAGAAGAAGAAATAGGTTAGTCAGAAGAGGTCATAAATGCACAGGACAGCTTTGAATGTTAAATGTGGAATTAACTGTATTTTTTAAAAAGCAAGATCAACATAATATAGATTTGCATTTTCATATACAATCCTCTTCTCTTCCACAATGCTCATTGATATGGTATTTTCAAAGTTCAAAATTAAAACACAAAGGAAAAAAAGCAATTACCGTTACCCAGGATACACCAGGATTAAGTGCAGTTTGGCTTGATGAACTGGATAGGTACTTTATTGATGTGGAAATTACAAATTCATTCATTCCAACAGTCCACAAAAATGTAGTGAGCACCTGCTGTGTGCAAAGTGCAGTGGGGATTGCAAAAATCTACAAAACATGGTTCCTGCCCTTTAGGCAGTTATAATCCTGTAATTGAAAAAACTCTCCAAAGTAATGCTGTGGATTTAGTAGGGCGGAAAAGATTAAGCACCACCTATTTACTAAAAAGTCAACTTCAGAGACCTTCTAGATAGATCATCCATCCATAAGACATGGGGAAGGAATTTCCCTGAACTGCTTGACGGAAGAAAAGTGCCTTGAGCTAGTGGGTAGGGGAAGTAAACACTGTAAACACTGAAAAAAGTACCTAACAAAATTGTCCAAAGGTAAAATGGTGTGTCTTGGGAATTTGTAACTTTCAAATACCTGAAAGTCTTCAAATGGAGACTAGATGACAATGTAGAGGGTAATCCTCTTCAGATATAGGTTAAAACTAGAAGGAGATGACAATCCAATTTGGGGATTATAAAACAGGTGAGTAATGAGGATTTTTGAGTAGCAGTTCTTGAGAAATGGTTTGCAAGTATACATCTTATGAGGACAAGGAATAGCATCATCACTGATTCATTCATGTTTAAAACCTTGTTATCTATGTTCCCTCTCCTTCATCTCTCATATTCAGTTGATCAAGTCTTACTCATTCTACTTCCATAATTTCTCTCAAATTGGAGGCAGCTAGGTAGCACAGTGGATAGGATGCTGTGCCTGGAGTCAGGAAAACTTGAGTTCACAAATGGCCTCACACACTCATTAGCTGTGTAACTCTGGGAAAATCTCTGCCTCTGTTTCCTTTATTTCCTCACCTGTAAAATGGGGATAATTATAGCACTCACCTCAAAGCATTGTTGTGAGGATCAAATGAGAAAATCATAAAGCACTTAGCAAGGTGCCTGGCATATAGTAAATACTGTATGTTAGATATTATTAGCCCCCTCCTCTATTTCTGCTGCCACCATCTTGGTACAACCCCTTATTATAACTCTTCTATGACTATGGTGATAATTCCTACCAGGTCTTCCCACCTCTATTCCATCCTTCCCACTACTACCAGAGTAATATTCCTTATGCATAAATCTAGCCATTGCACTTGACTGCTTAGAATGTTACATTCTTCAATGGCTCACTATATCCTTCAGAGTCAAAGTCATGCTCCTTAGTTCACCTACCAGCATTCAATCCATAATGTGTATACACACACACACACACACACACACACACACACACACTTCTCACCTGGCTGCCCCACTTTGGGACTTCTCTGACAGACTTCTGACAGACCATGCCCCCAAGAAGGTCATTATTACGATAATCTAATTTTCCTGAAACATCTCACTAGCCTTGGTATTCCATCACTACCCTTTGCCTCTCAGGTGGGAAGATGGGGCCATGAACTTCAAACCTACATTTAAGGAGAGACCTCAGCTCAGACATCTCTCTTCTCACTCATTTACACTACTTAGCACAGTGCCTGCCACATAATAAGCTCTTAATAAATGTTAATTGAATGAATGACTCTGGCCCATGTCCCTTAACCTCTGCCAGTTTCAGTTTCCTTAACTGTGAAATGGGGATTTTAATAGCATTTATCTCTCAGAATTGTGAGGATTAACAAGATATTTGTAAAGCACTTAGCACAGTGCTAGGCATATAGTAGGTCCTTAATAAATGCTTATTTCCTTTTGGTCCTCTACCCTAGGATTCCACTATCCCATTTAATGGGTCACAAAGGCAAACTTACCTAATTCACTATATCTAGCTGACCCCAGACTATTTCTATATCCCATCCAGCCCATTTACCAGGAAATCAGGACCTATCCAGTATGGATCTCTCGGCATGAAAGAATCACTCATCTCCCTCTTGTTCTCTGAACAGTAATCAGATCAATGTTACCATTGCTACTGAAAAGAGTATTACAATCACCTACTTTATGGTTTGGCTTAATAACCTAAACAAAAACTCCCTCCACTTCCTCC